TCATGGCATTTTTCACATGTTTTCATTCTACATGTACAGCTTCGTTTACTGTACTGCCACTATGATGGCTTAAATCACTATATTGCCACTATGATGACATAAAACTTGATTCACATAGATTCAAAGAAAAACTGTATGTAGTGGACTGTATATATAATTAAAAAGGTAAATCTTTGACAAAATCGTGAGACATGTTGCCTCAACAGGCCTTCGAACACATCTGGCTTTTTACTAATTTTACTTGACCGTGCAGGGTGCAGAGGGTATAGAAAGTACACGTTGCAGGTCTCTTAAAAAAGGTCTGTGGCCATTGATGAAATGCCAGATTTGTACGACAGGACCGTCTTACGCTCTAACACTACACATTCTACTAAAATGCCCTCTTTTCAAACAGTTTAGGCACAAACGTAAGTATCTTGCTTTGGATAACCTATCATTAACATTCAGCTTTGTAAATTTTTCGCACATAGATATTGTGTGATTACCACTGCACATAACGCATTTTTTCTCTGGTGCGTCCCATGTAGCCACAAACCCTCGCGAACTACCACGCGTATTGTCTCGCGAATTTAAAGAAGTACATTTAAAATCATTTTGAGCTATTGCTTCTAGCACCTCTGCACGCCCCTTTAAAAAAATTTTTAAATCTTCAAAAGACGGGTGCGGATTATCTGATTTATAGCTTTCCCAATTTCTTAAGGTAACATTGTCCAATCTGGAACTGACCAAGTATATCAGCAAGGTATCCCAGTGCTTCACGGGTTCTTTTAGCTGTTCTAAAGCCCTAAGGTTTTTTGTAATATCATCAAGAATTTTCCGAATGTCCAATGCGGATTCCTTTGTCATTTGCCCCAGATTGAACAATGCACGTATATGGTTTTGTACTAGCAACCTATCACTATCATACCTATCTAAAAGTGCATTACATGCCACTTCGTAATTGGCCTCAGATAATTCAAGAGCTTTTATAATCTGAGCTGCGTCTCCGTCCAAGCTAGCCCGGAGGTAATGAAACTTTTGCACCCCTGTCAAAGATATATTTTTATGTATTAATGATTGAAAAGTGTCACGAAATTCAAGCCAATTATGATATGAACCGCTATACTTAGGCAAGGAAATTGTCGGTAAACGTACATTGGATAGTTGATAATTTGTGCTGTCATGCGACTGACCAAGAGTACCTTGAGAAGGAGGGACTTGAGGGGATCGATTATGATCATTTATAATTTTCCGTGCCAATGACATATTTGAAAAATAGCTATTGTCAAATAACTCTCTTTCTTTTAGGTGGTTTCCCAATTCACTAGGATCGTCAGTACATTCCTCTAATTCAGATTGAAACTGATCAAAATTTACATTACAATCTTCTATAGCTGTGATCCTTCCCTCTAACTCTATTAAATCTACTTCACCTAATTCTTTTTTGGCATTTAAACTAGCAACAAACTTTACAAATAAAGTCAATTTAGCTTTACAAGTACCTCTCTTTTTAACTAACTGAGCCAAATCCATTTCTCTTTAATTATTTAAACAACGTAATTATTTTACTTTAGCAAATACAACCTTTATCTAGACCGCGACACAAGGATATGCCAACACAGGAGCCGGGCCGACCAACCTGCAGAGGACTGCTACAGTTTACCTCGTTTCTTCTCGCGCCGCCGCCGCCGTCTATACTCTTTTTCGGATGCTAGCTGCTTGCCTGGTCCGCCTCTAGATCCTTAACGCTAGTACACGCCAGCACCTTCGTCTCCTCTCAGCGTCCAACGTATGCCACAGATATGTCTGCCTTGGCCGGTCACGTTCAGGGGACGCCGCTTAGACTTACGTTTTTCTTCCACCAGTGGTACCTTTTTCTAGCCACCACAACAAATAGCAAAACCACGCTCTGCTACCAATATTTCGTGGAGCTAACCAAATACCTTTCCACTACTTTGCTCTGCCACCAATGTTTCGTGGAGCTAACCAAATACTTTCCACCAATTCTGTTTCGTGGAGATAACTAAATACTTTCCACGAATTCTTTATTAATATTCTTTATTTAAAAAACATAAATCACGCTTAAAGCATAAAAATACAAATTTGATGTTTTACTTGACATTTCTCAAAACAATTCTTTTTTTTTCTCGTTACTAATTTGATTAATATTACAAATCTGAACAGATAGAAACAGTAACTACAAGTCAGACGTATTCACCAATGTTCACTCGCGAAAAAAAGCCTAATATTGTCCATGAGTAATTAGGCATCTCACGGCCTAATTATTGAGATTCAGTTAAAATACCTATATGCATTTTGGACCATATCAATGTCCGATCTGTCAAAATATATTATAACTAAATCTGTAAATCCTTACGTAATTGTAAAAAGGCAGAAATGCCTGAAAAAGGTTTAACAATTACAAGATGTCTTATTTTCTTAATAAAAAACTTTATTTTCGTTTTTTAATAGTATCTCGCTTATTGTTAGCGATGGACCCAACAAACCTTACATGACTATGCTCGACAGGAAACGTTCTATCCAAATATGTAAAAATATACAGGGTGTTCCATTTAACTTAACAAAGTTAACATCCGCGGCCATTTTGTTTGGACTTCATTTGTTTTTCTACTATCATTTTCGAAAAATTCACATTTTTTTATAACTCAAAACAAAAAAGTTGAAGGAGGGGATCAAAATATAGTGAATCACCCTGTACAGGCTAATCGCCTGAGCAGTTAATCAAGCTTTAACAGACTCAAAGTACCGGGCCTTAGAAAAGTAAGTAGTGAAACGACAACTAGTACATACCAAATTGCTAAGAAATTTGATGCTCCTTAGAAGTTTATTTGATGTACATTGAGAAAGAACGGATTATATCCTTATTATTTACAAAAGTTACAATGAATTACGAACGAGGACGATTTTTCCAACAGCAGAAGGTTTTCCAAGAAGCATCAATTTAGTGTACTAGGTTGGAATTGTATAAGACCTTCATGGGACTCTTTGAATTGCCAGAATGTGTCAATAGCAAATATTACTTGCATTATTTATAAGAAGTTTTACTAGAAAATGTTCCATTGGTTGTGCCACATAACATGTGATTTATGCATGATGGATGTCCAACATATTTTAGTCAACTTGTGAGAGATTATTTGGATCATACCTTTCCGCAACTGTGAATCAGCTTTGGTGAATTTATTTAATGAACCCCATGTAGTCCCGATCTGAACCAATTGGAATTTTTCTTATAGAGATAGATGGGTACATGCATCTGAAGCCTATACAATTGAAGAATTACAAGTTTACAAGTGTTGGAAAATTGGATTCGTTCTGTGCTACTATGACCCAAAAAGTAGAGGCAGTATTTTGAACAATTTTTATACTTATGTAGTTACTGTAATATTTCCCTTTATTTTTTTTTTCTACGCAGCAGTACTCAATAAGCAATTTTTTTTAGGTTTTTTAAACTGCTTCAACTTTTTAATTACTGAGATTTTGTAAAAAGTTTATTAAGTTTCCCTCCATACATTACGAATTTTCTTGTATAAGTATCATCTTACTAATACAACACTGTGTTTATAAGATATACTCGTACTATCTGATAAGTCAGGTAAGGGTTGACGTTTGCCCATAAATTTTGACCTTTGTAGGCTGTAAGGATTGAGGAGATATTGAGATCGACGCCTTCAGATCTAACAAATTATGCATTTATAATTATTATTTATTACATTTGCTACTTTTATTACCTTATTATAATAGTTTAAGTAACAAATTGTCTCTTTTTGAAGGACGCTTTCTTAAATCTGAGAGCATTGACTGCCTAACATCCAAAACTGTGGTCAAATCAACAATTAGTTAGACCCTCTTGTCCTGTATAACTATTACTATTACTTAAAAACATTTAACATTATTTTGTTACTAGGGAAACTTGGAGACATAATTTACATCGGACATTCCATGGGAACTACCGAGTTTTTCGTGTTATCTTCCTTACTACCACAAGTAGCAAATAACGTAAAACTGATGATCGCCTTAGCACCAGCAGCTTATACAACACACATGCGATCTCCTATAAGATATTTAGCACCGTTCATCAATGATTTTAAGTGGCTGGCCGACCACCTGGGTTTGAATGAGTTAGGTACTACCCAATTATAAATTTTACAAATTTTTAGCTTATGAATGTGAAAAGAACCACAGCAAGAAAATATGTGAGAATATCTTATTTGTTTTATGCGGATTTGATAAAGAGGAATTCAACATTCAACAACTTCCCACAATATTAAGCCATGATCCGGCTGGTGCATCTACCAAGACCGTGTTGCATTATGCTCAGGAAATAAAGAATCAAGGAAACTTTCAAGAGTACGACTATGGGACAGCAGGTAATATGATTGAATATGGAACTCCCACACCACCACAGTACAAGCTAAGTAACATAAAGAGGCCAATTTACTTAATGTATGCAGAAAATGATTTCTTTGCCAGTCCTATTGATGTTGAACGCTTGGCAAGAAAACTAACAAACCTCGTGGCAACATACAAAGTACCTCTTAATGTTTTTAACCATATCGACTTCATATTTGGAAAAGATGCATACAATTTGATATACAAACCCATTTTAAAAGTTATGAGGAACTTTACAGATATTTAAAGAACAAATCTATATTCAAAAATTAGGATGTTGGAAATTTTAATATTATTAATCGTATTGTAGAATCATCCTTACAATACATTTTGCATTAGTGTTTAGGCTTAACTTTTGAAATGCACCTATGCTATAATTAATTTTTGAAATTTAAATGGGACACCATTATATTATTTGCTTAAAATTAACGTGGAAAATAGCCAAATTACTTTACTTTGCATAAAAAATTATTATAAAAATTAAAAACATTAAAGATCTTCTCCATACTCTACTTTAATTCCTAATAATATTTCAATTTTCTACTTCTGTGTAACCTATTTTAATTAAATAATAATACAAACTGTCAAACAATAACAATGTTGTCATGACATTACCTGTCACTGTCGCGGCCTACAATATCACATTGTCCATGAGTAATTAGGCCTCTTACGGCTTAATTAGTGAGTTTTACTTAAAATACCTATATGCATTTTGGACCATATCAATGTTCGATATGTCAAAATATATTACAACTAAATTTGTAAATCCTTTCGTAATTTGAAAAAGGCAGAAGTGCCTGAAAGAGGTCTAACAATTACAAGATATCTTATTTTCTTAACAAAAAAACCTTCTTTTCTTTTTTAATAGTATCTCGCTTATTGTTAGAGATGGACTCAACAAACCCTATATGACTATGTTCGACAGAGAACGTTCTATCCAAATATGTAAAAATATACAGGGAGTTCCATTTAAATTAACAAAGTTTACATCCGCGGCCATTTTGTTTGGACTTCATTTGTATTTCAAATATCAATTTCGAAAAATTCATAAAAAATCGTACAACTTTTGTATTTTACATTTTTTTATACCTCTTAAAACAAAAAAGTTAAAGGGGGGCTGTCAAAATATAGTGAATCACCCTGTATATGTAATGTATTTGATTTTTCTAAAGTTTTAATGCAAAGAATCTAATACGAAAACAATTTTTTTTGAAGTTTCCGTAAATTTTCAATAAAAATTTTCTGGCAACAATAAATCGTAGTTTTCCTATCCCTACTTATTATACAAGTGTTCGACACTATTGAGAAATGAACTGTAGGTACGATCCTATGATTTATAAATAAATAAATTTCTTTCACTATTCAGTATTAGCTAATGAAAATGTATACTTAAAAAGTTAAATAATTTATCAAATATGTTGGACGCCTTCATATGTAGGCTCAATAAACATAACACATAAACATAATCATAAATAAAAACATTTTTGATTTTCATTGTAGATCTTAAAAATGCATATATTTGGAAACATAACTCTCTCAAAATTGTCCAAATGCCACAATTTTTTGTTTATTTTTATTATCCAAATTTTTTAAAAGCATTTCTTATGCAAAATCTAATATACAGGGTGATCCAATAACGGTACGGGGTGGCTGTACATAGGAAACTAGACGTGCTGCGATTATGGGGTAAAAAATCTATTAACAAATACGGCCAAAAGAAATTGATTTAAAATATTTTCAAGTTTGTAACTTCACCACTAGGGGGCGCAACTGCTATAGTATTACAGAAAATTGTTGTTTTTTCGAAATTTCGCTTGTATAATCTAAGTTGAAAACACACTTTTTAGATACACTGTTAAACCATTCACAAGTTTTGTTTGAACTTTTTTTTTGTTATTACCATAGCATGAAGGACGATGCCATCTTGAAATTTTTAAATTGTCATAACTTCTAAATGGCTTAATCGATTTCAATAAACGACGGCTTATTTTAAAGAACTATTAATAAAATTTATATTTCTGATATGGGAATAAAAATATTATTTTCCTGCACAACGGTAGACGACGCTAATTAGAAATGTTTTGTAATTGTCTGTTTTCATTTTTTTTTTATTAATTCCAAATATCTGAGTATTTATAAAGATTATTGTTTCCATAACAAGGTAGGCTATGCCCTATGAAAATAAACAATTGAAAAATTATGCCAAGCGAAATGTGACAGCTCTTACTACGTGCAAAATTAGTGTTATTTGTATGGAAAAGTATGTATGAACAAGGAAAATGCCTTTTACGAATGTGGAAGCATGTGATATGTTGGCAGTTTATTTTCAATGTTTAGAAAATGCTGTTATAGTTTCAAGAGAATACCTTTGCGATACCCTCGTAGAATATGTTACTCCAGAGAAGTATTTCAGCGTTTAGCTAAACGCCACTACATTCTGTAAGAAGACATCGCCATGCAAGAACGGAAGTTAATATTTATGTTTCCTTGTGTCCAAGTAAATTCCCAAATAAGTGTTAGGGAATTAGAGACCTGGGAACACAAGTATTTTTCTCACACAAATGACACTAATTTTGCACGAAGCAAGAGCTGTCGCATATCGTTTGACATAATTTTTCATTTTTCTATTTTTATAGGCTGCCTCGTTATGGAAATAGTAACCTTTATAAATACTCAGACATTTGGAATTAATAAAAAAATGAAACATTGCAGTTATCAAAAAAATTTCAAAATATTGCAAGTACTTTTTTGGTATAGTTTTACAATTTAATTTTGGCCTGGACTATATTAATGTTAGCACAACTTCACTATTTTAGCAATAACTTGAAAACGAAAGAAGATATTGTGTATTATCCTTTATAAATGGTTTATCAAGCCATGAAAAAAACACTTATATCGTTGCATTTAATTTTTTAGTAAACGGAAACAATTACAAAACCTTTCTAATTAGCGTCGTCTACCGTTGCGCAGGAAATTAATATTTTTATAAATATAAATTATATTAATAGTTCTTTAAAATGAACCGTCGTTTATTGAAATCGATTAAGACATTTAGAAGTTTAAAGAAATTTTAAAATTGCAAGATGGTATCCTTTATACTGGCGTTGCTATGGTAATAACAAAAAAAAAGTTCAAACTAAACCTTTGAAGGGTTTAACAGTGTATCTAAAAAGTGTATTTTCAACTATTTGAAATTTCGAAAAAACGACACTAACATTATAGCAGTTGCGCCCTCTAGCGGTGAAGTTACAAACTCAAAAATATATTAAATCAATTTCTTATGGCCTTATTTGTTAATAGATTTTTTACCCCATAATCGTAGCATGTCTAGTTTCCTATATACAACCGCTTCATACCGTTAATGGATCACCCTGTATAATTCGTCTTTCTACATCCTTCAAAATGCGCAATTTCTTTAAAGACCTATTATTTTTAAAATTTCATATATGAATTTAAGAATGTAACAGTTCCTGTTATATTTTCATTTATTTTAATGATTTTATTTTATCAACTTATATTTTCCAAAATTAACATTGAAAAAACATGTATTTTTACATGAATAATTTAATTTAAATAAAATTGCAATAGGCACCAAGACCTATAGAATAACATGGTGTCATTAGATTTTAGGTGTCATTAGACTTTAGGAAAGAAATTAATGATATTTTTCAAACAATTGTGTGAACAAGGAAAATAAAAAAATATTTTAATGTATCTAAATATATGCCTTTTTAAGATTTATTTAAAAAAAAATGTTTGAGTATCATTTGTTTCTTACATACCATGTTAATGGTTTGCATACCTGTATAAAATGATATGAAAAATATAGCAGTGTTTTAATCCAGTGGTGTTTGTACTTACAATGTTTAATGTAATCATTACAAAGCGTTAAAGTCTGTATTGTTATGTGATACCATATAAATAAAAGTATTGTATATTTTTAAAATGTTCTTTTACCTATCATTTACAGATGAATAAATCACTTAAAAAATATTTTGTGGTGCTAATGACAAGTCATAATAAAACAACTTCCAGTCAATGAAATGTGGTAAATTACAGTAACCATAATTTTATTTATACTTACTTTTGCCTTTTTGTGGTTTTCCCTCGGTCAAAACTTCAAGTTTTTTTGTTTCAGTACCAAGCTTTCTTTTCGTCGTAGATTGAGGTGGGCCAGATCTTAAGTTCTTACGATTTGTTGGTGGAAAAAGAGTCTGAGCGGATTTTGCTGGAATTTGTTCCCGTTGCATTTTTCTTGCACTCTGTTTTTGTTTTTTTGCCTGAAAATAATAAAATTCAAATTATTTTACAAATAGATATTTCCAAATACAGATGTTCCGATTTATAGGTGTACATGCTCTTACCAAGTAAAAACATAAAGATTAAATATTTTTTTTATTAAATAGGTCATATCATATTACGATAGGGACGTCGGTTGCCAGATGGCAGCGCCAGGATCGTCTATTCCTGAAATATAAAAGGCAACCCCCATATTACTTATTTCTTTTCCTTTAATATTTGTAGTCAACAAGAATCTAAATTCACAGAGTAATTTGGAACACATCTTTCGCCATTCAACAAAATATTAACAGTCTGTTTTAATTAACTTTTAACATTCCTTTTGTTGTCTGACAGAATTATTTTGTTTTCAATATTTTTAAAAATTCTCAACAAAATTCCCAGGGTATCGCCTCTTTACCAGTATATTTTCTATAAACAATTCATTATTACAAATTTAATCTCTTGAAATGTCGAAGATTGAGATGCACAATATACAGTGATATATATTTTGCACTCTATCTGTTTTTTTTTTTCAGTGTGAGATCTTTCATTGGCCTATACTATTTTTATAAAAATAACCCTTGACTGATCCTTTTGGCGCAAGGGTTTATTTCTTTAATTTTTAAATTCTTCAGAGGTGACAAAATACCCAAATATATGAAGAAAAAACAAAAACTATGCCACAAATAAATAATTTCAGACAATATTCCACAACACTTCGAATGGGTTATTTTTTTCAATTATTAAAAAAATAATTTTGTAAAAGTGAAAATTGTGTAAAAATGCCTATTTCCTTCTTTTTTTAAATAGTAATTAAGGAAAAATTGATTAATAACAAAAAATATTACTGAAATTAATAACAATACCAGAATTTGTTATATTTTTAATTTTTACAAATTTAAAAATGAATAGTATAGAATTGTGTTATTAGACTACTATTATGGCTTCTAAAGTAATCGTAGCAGATGATTTATTTTTAAAAAATTAATTTTGCAAAACAAAAAACGTACAGTTTGTGGAAAAGTGTAAATTTCACTCTTTTCCAATATCAATTGAGGAAAAATTCTTCTTGAGGGGTGCATACATTCTATGATTTTTGGAAAAAAAAAATTGTTAACACAATTTTTCTAAATTTGACCTAAAAAAATAGAATCATTTTTAATTGTTACTATATAATAACTATATCCGAAATCACTTCGTTTGGCCGCTAGATGGCCTCAAAGTTAGTAAAAATTTTTTGAATTTTGTAAATAACTCGAATACGTATTAATCAATTTTGATTATTTTTGTGGTGTGAACTTTTGGTTTCGATTTACACATTTTGGTGTTATACAGAGTGTTTTTTGAAACTTACAACTCCTACAAAATTGATGTTCATAACTTGTTCCTCTTTCAGGCAATAATGACAACTATTTTTTATCTGATACCATTTCAAAGTTTTTGGGCCTCTTGTAGAATTTTGATTAAATTAGCGGTTTAGGTACAAACAAATATTTTTTAAATGTCTACCTATATTACAATACTTGATAAAGTGCTAACAGGCACTGATTTTGTAGGTTGACTGTAATTTCAGTTTGATCTTCAAGTTATTGTACCTACCAATTCTTAATGAGTATTTACTGCGATAAGATATACCACATGTTACTTCATTTCTCGATATGGATACACACACATACGACGAATTAGAGTTAATTAATTTTATAGAGATAATTAGTAAGAACAATCAAATACATACAATAAAAAATGCTGGCGGTAAAAGTAACAAAGTGTATTATTAAATTTAGTACAACTATAAAAACTGTTCAAAATGATCGCCGTTGTTTCTACAACAAAGTTAATTCAGCGAAGAAAGTTAAAGGACACCCTTTGCAGAGGGCAATTTTTTAAAACATTTATGGCAATTAGGATATGCCTCCACAACTCTTCTTCAGTGTTAGATGTGCAAGCATACACTATTGTTTTCAGAGTGCCCAAAGATAATAGTCGCAAGGTATTAAGTCTGGTGAACGTACAGACCAGTTAACAGGAGCATTATCCCTTCTACCGATCCATCGACGAGGGAATCTTTGGTTCAGATACTGCCAGACATTTACAGTGAAATGTGGTGGAGCTCCATCATGCATAAACCACATGTTAGCTCTGAGTAATAACTCGGGTAAAGTGTTTTGAAAAAATTCTAAATAAAATTCCACATTTGGGTAGGTATTGGGTAGAATAACAGGGACAATAATAATGCTATCAATGTGTTGTATTTCATTGTTTTTTCTAATTATTTGAATAAAATTAGGCACATTGTAAATAACTCTAATTCGTTGTATGTGTGTATCCATATCGAAAAATGAAGTAACAGGTGGTATATCTTATAGTCGTAAACACTCATTAAGAATTGTCAGGCATAATGACTTAAAAATCAGACTGAAATTATAGTCAACCTCCAAAATCAGTACCTACTCGCCATAAATGTTTTAAAAAATTGCCCTCAGGAATTGCAAAGGGTGTCATTTAACTTTCTTCCCTGAATTAACTTTGTTATAGAAACAACGGCGATCATTTTGAACAGTTTTTATAGTTGTACTAAATTTAATAACATACACTTTGTTACTTTTACCGCCAGCATTTTTTATTGTATTTGATTGTTTTTACTAATTATCTCAATAAAATTAATTAACTCTAATTCGTCGTATGTGTGTGTATCCATATCGAGAAATGAAGTAACATGTAGTATATCTTATTCAGTGGCGGCTCGTGAAGGAGGACTCTGGGACTCCGCCCCCCCCCCAAGATATTTTGAAACTATAAACTTAAAATAATGTATTTATTTAAATCAATAAGAAATCTAAATAGCATGCATTCAATATCTCTTGGATGTTAGGTTGGTTGCATAAAGTGCATGTACTCCGTGAACGTAGCTCAGATTAATGCCATCTGCCATCTATGATCGTACCAAAGAGTTATGTTTAACCGCGCGCGCAATCCCCACTCCATCGCGGACCGTGAAATCTGAGTCCATCGTGCAAGCATATTTTTACATATGATTGGACAAATTGGCACGTGGAGGGGATAGGCGACGATAGGCTCGCGCGCTTTGTTTTGGGACTCCATGAGGCAGTAACCCGTATCACTGAAGTGTGGTTATATGTGTTTTGTTTTTGCTTTGGCGCTTTTTAAGACATTATATTTTATAAGTTTAAGTTTAAAATGAGGGTTTGTGAAATAAAAAAACTTGTTATTAGTAATTTAAGTTTAGAGGAAAAAGTCGAATTGAAAAATAACGGACGTCCAACGCCAGTGTTGAATTTAGTTGAGGTGCAGAAAGAGTGCAAAAAGTGGGCCGGCTTTCGCAAATTTGATAAAAACATTTATGATAAGACCCTGTGGTTGTGTGGTTGTGACCAAACAAATAGATTTTTTTGTTTTGTATGTTTATTGTTTGGAGGAGGCGAAGAAAACTGGACGAAAACTGGAGTTTCTGACTTGAAACATTTAGAAATTAAAATTAAGAAACATGAAAATTCTCCTAAACACAAAAATAAGTTGGTGAGTTTTTTACTTTTAGGAAGAGTAAATATTGCTTCTTGTTTAAATAGTGCTTATGCAGAACAAATAAATAGTAAATAGTCATAACGAAATACTTAAGGTGGCCATATTCCTGGCCGAGAAATAGTGAAATTTCTGGCGTTTTTAGGTACTGAAATCTTTAAAAGTAAAACGTGTAGAACAAAAGTAAGCACAAAAATAAAATCCTTGATGTTTTGTTTATTCATTGTTACCATTTAAATTTACTCAAATAAAATAATAAGTAAAAAAAAACGTTTGTAAAACATGCGTTTGCTGTTATTCTAACCCCACATTTTAAGAATTATTTTCACGTATTTATAAAGAGATTTCAGAGATTCCTAATAAATAAAATCAATTTTATTCACTTTCTTTACAAAACAATGTTTCTCTTAAAACCTATTAACTTATTGTTGGAAGAAAATATTGACCTCAAATTTATATTCGTTTTAACTGAACACCGATCCCAATTATGGTATCAAACAGGGATATGTTAGAGATGAAAATTAGCCTATATACTAGCCTGCTGGATACTTTCCCAACATTTATCAACATGTAAACAATTTGAATCTTCGCTTACTTCCAAAATATTATTAAGTTTTGAGCCCCATAACATTGGACAAGGAGTAGGTAGTTAGTTACACGTATTTTAATAAATAAAAGTAAACAATTTTATATGTAGGACTAAGCAAGTAAATGTTATAAGAATATTTACATGTGGAGTTATATATAAAAAAGTTAGTATTTTCGTAGATTTCAGTACCTAAAACCTTGATGGTTTGATCGTTTTTTGCACCTGTTTATTCGTTTTACTGCGGCGCCTTTGAAAATACTCAGGTGGCATGACATAACATTCCTATTATTTGATAAGCTTTAGATTATTCAGTTATTAAATGTTTGAAATTATTTGTCTTTGCGGAAAACACTATTTAAAGAATATGGGGCCCTTAAGAAAAATCGATTGCTTCTTTCAAAAATTTTAAATATCTGAACTATGTGGTACATGTAACCTGTCTCTTCGTCGACATAATAAAAAAAGTGACTCGGTAAACAAAGGGGTATTTTTAGAACTGATAGACTATAGTGCAAAAATTGATCCCGTTTTAGATCAACATCTTAGTGATGCCCATGTTTTTAAAGAAACTTCAAAAACTATACAGAATGAACTATTGCAGTAATATACATAATTATATCCTAACTGGGTTGGTTGATCGATTATCCACTTCAGCCCCCACACGTTGGAATTTTATTTCTCGCATTGTATCTAATTGTAAGTAGCTACTGTGCACAGTGACAGTATTCATTTTGGGGTACTTGCAAAAGACAATGACCTTCAAATTCCTTAAAATTTTTCGCCTGCGGCACTAAGCGGGAGGCTGCCGCCCCCCACACCCCCCGCAGCTCTTATGATGTACGTCCTCTTTTCAGAATGCGCCCCCCCTGTATTCAAACCCACGGGCCGCCACTGATCTTATCGTAGTAAATACTCATTAAGGGGGCGATTTAGTATGTATATTTTTACCATGTAACAGAGCTTCAGATGAGGACACAAATCGTCGAAGAAACTAACATAATTGAATATTATTATATATCAATGTATTCGCAATGGTTCCCGCTAGTGAGTGAAATAAATTTCAATGCTCATGAGAACAGAAGAATAATTTAAATAAATCCCAAAGTACCTCAATTTTAACCATACTGTTAGTCTGACAATATATTGCATT